CGCGGCCAAGAGGAGGACAAGAGGAGGACAAGGCCCAGCCACAGAGCTCAGCCACAGAGTTCAGGGGCGCGGCCAGTGAGTGTGGCCAGCTCTTTTCTTTCTAAGATAGAACCCCAACAGTAAACTGTTTGGGGAAAAAAACAAACAACTAACTGACCAACATCACACGCCCGTGAACCCGAACTACCTGCGAAGAAGCATCTTGTTCGGCAGCCTAGACCCAGATGCGCTACCAGACCCAATTTGTAGCCCTGGCTTTACTTCAAGGTTTAACCTTTTCAGTGGAATGGTCATGGAGTCTTAAGAATGAACCTCTTCTGGATGCTGGTTTAAACAGTTCCCAAAGCAACTGGGGTAGTTATTCCCAAATAACAAAGGGTTGAGCATTGTTTTTTGACAGTAAAGAGATATAAAAAACAAAAAATTTGTTGAAAGATCTACGCCCAGCCTTCGCACTGACCACTTCCAAGAAAACCATCTGCCCGAAACGCGGCTTCCATCCCCGAAACGCACCGGGGTCCTTCCAGTCGCCCAGCCTTCCAGGCGGCTGCTTGAAATGGCGGTTCTGTCCGAAACGCCATGGCGGTTCGTTCCGAGCAGCGGAAAGAGATTCGGAAAGTAATAACCATGACATCCCTTCAATGTCGATGAATTCCATTGGAATCGTTCTGCACTCGTGGACACATTCTAGCTCCGTGACCTGGTGTCGCTCTTTGATTTTTCCTCGCCCGTTCTGCTTGAGCCGAGAAGAGGTGTCACACTGCTCCGTTCGACGTCCTTTGGGTCGAAATTGCCAGAGAACATGGATGGATTCCGGGTATTTCCATATTGCTGATTTGACGCATATCGAATTTCCTCTCCAAATGGATGTGGAGTGGGTCTTGCCCACCTGTCTGGTACAGTAATCGAACAAAAAAAGAATTAAAAAGAATCATCCTGATCATGGGCCTTTCAGGGGACTGGTCTCTGATCATGGGACTGGTCTGGCCGTTTTTTCTGCTCGAGAAGGTGAACAGAAAACATCAGAAAACCCCATGTGCATGTGGGAAGGCTCAAGCAACCCGGACAGTCGGGCTGCGGACTGTCCTGTGGGCGTCAATGCGTAGACCGTGGCCGTGGCCCAGACCTTTGCCGGTCAGACCCCCTAAAAAGTCACCCATTCCAGACCCTACTAGTAGTTGAGGGGGTTATTAGACTATAGACCCGAATGAGGCTTCAAACAACCATTGTTTTAATGGTCTTTACCAAAAAAAAACATGTAAAAAAGACCATTGTTTGTCTTACTTTTACACTACACCACCGGGTCAACCATTTGACCCTGCTTGGGTCCCTTTGGATCGAATTCCGGACCCACCGAGTTCCACCCGCGTGTTGTTCGAACGTGCCCGCCTGGCTCGTCTGGGGTCTCCACGCAGCTTGGTCTGCTATCTTCACCACAGTGAGTCCCAGAGAGTTCCACCGTGACGAGGTGTGAGGTGTACGTACTTTCTTTCCATTGCTATTAGGTTGGAGGCCATCGCTAGTAGGTTGGAGGCCATCGCTAGTAGGTTGGAGGCCATCGCCGTGTTGACTGATCAAGTCCCGTGAGGGCGTGATGACTGGTCTCTTCCGCGGTCAGCCGCGGATCTCCCTGTGGTTTTCTGGAACCCAAAGTCAGGTTCACACCACATGTATTGCTTGGAGCTGGCGAAAACCCTATTGTCTTCGAATTGTTGGTCCTTTCAAATGCACTAGATAGGTGGAACCTCTATATGGGTGTATTGCTTGGAATACGGAGACCCCCCATTGGTTAAACCCTCGATCTTTCTGTTTTGTTGGCGCGTGATGGCTGGGGGGCCCCAACACGCATATATACACGCCAGTTCTGTGATTCCATATGTTTTTCAGATGTGCAGCCAACAAATGATGAGAAAACACCGGCAAGTTGCGCCCAGTTGCTGCGACCCAGCTGACCCTCCTAAGATGTCGACGGGACGGGCCCAAGGGAGTTCTTTGGAGCGTCTGGGTGATTCACTTTGCCTCTGAATGGGGTGAAAAGCCCAATTCGCTTCCTTCATCGTTCAACGAAATTGAGTCTCCAATCTAGACAAACAAGGCAGTGTTCGCTCGCGTCATGTATTGTTGGATAGATGGATTGGCCAGGACGTTCTCAAATCAAAGAAAAAGACGTGACACCAGCTCCATAATCCAAACAATAATCAGCGATTCCTCTCTGGAGTGCAGGTGCGCGACATGCGACATGCTTTTCTCTTGGTCAATGATGCAGTCCCTGACCGAGTCGTCAACCGTTTCAGACAACTTGCCGACCTTGTTCGTGGACTGAAGAGACGCCCCTGCACTCCGGTTGAGTGTGGAAACACCGGCGACAGCTAGTTCTTGGCATGGTTCACCAGTCAAAGCGCCTTTCTGTAAGTCTGACTTGGGAGCTATGATTGACATGTCGTCCCCAGACATGAACACCGTCCACTTGAACTGGTGCCTTTATTGAAACTCAACATCAATTTTCCGTTCGAGGGTCGTAACTCCTCCAGTTGACTTTCTTTACATCTCTCGTCTATTCCAGGCATAACCACTTTGCCCTTCGCCTTCAAAAACGAGTGGATCCGCTCGAGAGCGGCGGCGGCGGGTTTCCGCAGCCGCGCCGGTAACTTCTTGCTTTGAGGCTCTCATGAACTGCAATGGTGGCTCTGGTGTTCGTTGAAAAGCTGCAAAGGCCCCCAGGGTATTTCACAAGTGTTCGCCCACATGTCCATTTCAGCGAGTGTTCACCACAGTCTCCCACCCATTCTTTTTTGAGATCAATCCATTTCAGCTGAATTGGGGGTGAGATGGGCCATGGGAAGTGTGCTTGGCATTGCTCTCCGCTCCGAGGGATTCGAAGGGTGGAATTGGACCGAAGGACATGAAGGACCCGTGGTCATGAAGGTTGACTGGGTGACCTTGGAGAACTTTGGAGAATTTGTTGGGTTCTTTTGGGGTTCTCCATCAAACCAGCTAGAGAACATGCTGAAACCTAGGCAGAAATCAAGCGCTCCGCGGAGTGTCTGTGAAAAAAGAGGCGGGCAGTGTTTGTTTCCACACACAGACACTCGATGGGCACACCTAGATTGGGGTGGTTTCAGGTATCAATGAGGAACACGACCAATAGGTATCGGTATCATCCATTAATTCGGAATTTGCTTTGAGAGCTAGCTATGATTCTCTAACTAAAAAGACCGACCTTTGCATGTTCTGGAGAGGCACCCTCAATTGCTTTCACTTCAATGCACCCTCAATGGTCGCGTACGCAGGGACCTGTTGAATGGTCGCGGACGCAGGGACCCAAGTGCCACCGACAACGACGGACCGGGGGACATCGCAGGGACCGGGTTTTCTGTCTGGACGAAGCCGTGTTTTTTCCGTCTTGAAAGTGGGGCACGACCAAAAGTGAGCTGCCCAAACACGACCCTGGACCCGAATCCTATGGAGGGGTGTCTCAAATCCAGGGAGGGACCGGCTGTGAACGGAGCGTCGGGCTGCTTCGATCCAGCGGCTCCTCAAAAGGAGGTCTTTCTGTGCTGGAAAGCATCTTCCGCTGCTTCGACTGCGTCAGACTGACGCGACTGTCGGGTGGATTCCTTCCATCAACATCAGGACTCAGGACCATTTGTCATACTCGTTCCTCCATTCTTCTTGTTCACACCTTCCACACCAAAGTGCACAACCACCACACACACTATCCCACATTATCATGACACCCGCGCGTGGAACGGCCATGAACGGCCTCAAAGACACTTGATGTTTCTTCTTGGCGCGAGACACACACACACATGCCATGCGCACACACGCGTACCGCACACACATGTATACACATGCCATGCGCACGCACACACACATGCCACGGTCTTCGTCCAATCGTGACGGCACCGAAGGCGGCACCGCATGGATGTCGCCGAAGGCGGCCACCGAGAGCTTCGAGCCCAACATCTTCTTGGCGCAGTCGGCGACCTCCGGCGCCACGTTCGACACAGGTCACGTCCCGGTCACCGGTCGGTCGGTCACCGGGAGAACGGAAGCTCAAATGGAATTGAAAGAAACCGTATTATAAGGCCGGACTGAAGTGACTTTTTGGACTCAAGGGGTAGTTGAAAAATGTTAACACCGCATTGGGTCTATCCATGTCTATCCTATTTCCAGGGCCCAGCAGATGATGACGATGACGATGACGATGACGGTGGGGGTGGTGGGGGTGGTGGGGTGGTGGGGGTGGTGGGGGTGGTGGGGGTGGTGGGGGTGGTGGGGGGGGTGGTGGGGGTGGTGGTGGTGGTGGTGGTGGTGGTGGCGGGGGTGGTGGTTCAGTTGCAGGCCTTTCTCTAAAATAGTGATAATTGTTACCGACTGTTACAGGTAAAAGACTATACTTTACTATACTATAATACTATACTCAGTGTAGTTGTAATGTCAGGGTCAAATTGTCCCAACCTCTTTAAGACCTATAGGTACACCCCAGAAACAAACTTGTTCAAAACTATTAAAACCATCTACATCATGCCTACCATTATGGTCTTGTAAATAACATGCTGCTACGCCGTCTGCCCTATCGATTTCCATTGGTATTTAGTTTTGATGCACCAACGCCTGCAACAAATCAGAGACAAGCGTCTTCATGGAAGCAACACATGATTTCCCGCCCCTCCTGCCCCTCCTACGCAAATGCATGGTCATCTTCGACTCTCATGGTGCTCCCTCAATCTGGGATTCCAGTGCCCCTTGAACTCGGTTTTCGGAAAAAGTCGTCGAAACTGCATCTTCTTTCACTCTTCCTGGCTCAGGCGCCTCAAAAACCCAACGCTGCCGCCACCGGCACAACACCAGTACCTCCATCCCGGAAAAAAAAAAAAAAAAACAGTACCAGCCTCAGCTTCCGTCACCGCATCGATGATCTTCGTGAACTCTGCCGCGCTGCCATACCTTCGCTTCGCAGCTCGCACCGCCCGTACCGACCCAACGACCCAACGACCCCGCGGGGTCTTCGGGCGAACGTCAAGTCGCCCCTCGATTCGGCGCCTGAAAAAAACAGTTTGGATACCAAGACCCGAACGACCCGAACGAAGCATCCGTTGGGTCTTGGGGGGACCCCTGCTGGAGCTGGTGAAAAAAAAAAAATTGAATACATCATGTCCACCAAACTCCTGAAATCCGAAACACGAGGAGAGAAATCTCATGGTTGTTGGATGTCGTTGGGGGACTCCCTGCGGGATGGTGCGGATTGGGAATCAGCCACGGCGGAGGTTACAAACACCCTGAAATGAACAGAGTGGTCTGAGAGGGATGTCGTCTGATTTGGACACCTGCACCTGCTCAGTCAAACCGAGACACAAACAGCCACTCTTTCTGGAACCACCACCATGACCAAATGAGACCCGGCCCACAATAGTGTGGAATGCACTAAAGGCTACTACAGGCCCTAGTTTCTGTGTTTTCAGGGCTTTGGGATTTTACAATGTTGAGCATACAAATGCATGTACGTATATAAGTACAATAAAAGACATCAGAACCAATTCCAATCAGACCTTTCACCAACACCCTATCAGGGAACATTGACCCCAAATGGTTTATATTCCTTGGAATGCACAAAGATCTCAATCAAATCATCCTCCCCCTGGCTTAGGGAGCAATCCCCAGATGGTTCACATGCTAATCTGCTGGTCTTCTTCAAATGGAGCCATCTCACAGAAGTCCACAGCACTTCGTTCAGCTCATGCAGCCGCACCTACCCAAACTGCGTCAGGACCATCGCTGGCCTGATCAGAGGACCATCGCTGGCCTGCTGCTTCTTGCCCTCCCAAATGCAGGGGCTTGTGGTGAAGCCCCCTGCCCTACACTTGTTACCATCAGACTTCTTCAGCACACTCCATGCACACACCCTGGTTTTGCCATGTTGCCTGCGAACAGAATCGGCTCTTGCAAGAGCCAAGTCTTCCACCTTCAGTGGAATGGTGTAGCCACCAGCTGTTGTGCTAGCAGCTTCTTGACCATTAGAAAGAGACCTGCACATTGCACAAGCACCCCTTTTTGGGCTCCATTGTTTGGATTTGACAGCATCTCCCAATGTCATGTGCTCACACTTCCTGGGAGATGTGTTGGCAACAAGTTGCGCACCCTCCAAGCACTGTGGTTGCTTGTTCTGCCAATCTCCGACTTCGTGCGCACTGACTTTCCATGAGCCTTGTCGTCGCACTGACTTCCAGCTTGGGTCGACTCGAAAGACTCCACGATATCCCAATTAGCCTGGCTCGTCGTGCAACTGACATGCCCCAACTTAGTTCCAAGTTGAATCAATGCTGTCTCTGTGGATGACCTTGTCAGCCCTTGGAAAAGGGCTGCACAGCATTATACAAAGATTGTGTTTCCCTCCCAAGAAAGTCTTGCTCCTTCTTAGTTTTCACTCTTGATTTTGCCAGTGATCAAAGCACTCCTAGAGGTGAGCAGCAACGGAAATCCCCAGGTCTTGCCAAGCAAAGAATGGATGGCTTCCCAGCGTGCCTTGTTTGGGGGTTTCCCGCCATGTCATGCTTTTTTGGCAGACAATGACGACGGGAACAAGCTGTGGTGACAGCAATGACTAGCCACAGGTGCAACATCAAAGATGATGAACCACATGACGTTTCAATGACAACAATGACAACAACAGGAGCAGCTTCACGCAGTGACAACATGTGACAACACGTGACAACAAAAAAAGAAACGACAATGACAGCAACAGAACAGCCAAAAGAGAACATGGCAAGAGCAGCACCAGACCAGCCTAACAACATCAATGGCAAGCCACACCGCAGCTACAATAAACCCCCACGATGAACGCAGCAAAGCCATGCAAAGCCAAACAAAATGATGTCGTCATTTTGTGAACCACAATCCTGCTCCTGCTTTGCATGAGGCGAGCTAACAGCCACTGCTTGATTTGGTTCTTCTATGACGGGCTCTGGTAGCTATCCAGGTGGAATATGCACGTTTGGCTTGCCACATCTTTTTTGAATTGCCAGGAAACAAACCACTATATACATGCCACAACATAGGCAAATTCTGACAGCACAGCAGTAAACACACTGCACCTCAATGCAATCTGTCAAGGCTGGTGACATTTTGAAGCAAAAAAAAATCACTTGGGGAAAACCTGCTTCTCACATACACATTTCATAGCTGCTACAACAATCGTATTTAATTGGAAAGCACGAGTGAGAAAACCAAGACTGGAATTCAGAAGTTGAATTCATCTATGGAGAAAGAAACTCTATACAAACACATTATGTCAAACCACATCTATAAATTGCATCTACGTTGGAAGCTTGAATCCTCCAACCTCTGGTGGTGGGGATATGTAGGGATGGTATCAGGGGTGGTTCGGATGCTCAGACTCAGACCTTATTGACCTGGGCGGCGAGGTAAAATAAAAATAAAACATAGTATGTATATATATATATATATGGCCTCTTTCTGAACCAAGACTATCGGACACGCTTTCTTGACGTGCATGTCGGCCTATGGCAATTGTATATATCTATCTATATGGCCCAAGGAGCGAAGAACATAAAAGTGATTAAAAGTGGAATACAGCCTGTTCATGGAGGAATTCAGTCTTCCGTTTAGGGCCATGTTCCACTTCCATGTTTGTTGGATGGAGGGTATATATAACTAGTTACTTGTCAGAACATGTCTTGAGAGAAGATAGAAGGCAGTGAAGCAGGGATACATAATCCAACATGCAACAGCATGACATCTCTGGGACTTTGTTTGAATACCAACTCAAGTTGGAAAACTGCAACATTGGGAAACTGGGGATCTGGGGCCTCTAGAAGAAAAGAGGAAGGGGAGGAACTTCCCTCGTGAGCTCGGTCAGCCCATCGAACTCTGGGAAAACTTCATCAGACTCTTCGCTCCCAGGACCGTTCCACATCAGACCCTTCGTTCCACATCACATCGGACGAGCTGAGCAAAGGCGGATCGTTCTCTGAGGTCTCGAACTTCCCCGTGAGCAAGAGCTGCTGTCCCATGTCCTGCATGAGCTCCGAATCGTTGTCCGCCTGGCCGTACGTGGGCCATGGGGGACGAGTCCCTGGGCTCGCAAGCGCATCCACAGAAAAAATTGAAAAACAGATATATACACCCCCGAAAACTAACATAGACCCTGACAATGGCCCCCTGGAAGATTGTTTCCTCTACCAACCAGTGGTTTTCGGGGTCCATGTTAGGGTGTATATATATACACACAATATGGCATCCTGAAAAGATGGATACTTTGACGAGTGGGACGAAGGTCTGGATACAAGGATAGGGTATGTCGTGGATCCCTTCAAACCGATTCGAACTCTAAAGATCTCTCCACGCAAATCAACAGCGGGAGAACCGTAATCGCACCATTTTCTTCACGCAACCTACAAACGAGCTCAAGGGGCCCCTTTGAGAAAGAAAGGGCCACAAGATGAACGTGAACTGACCTCCAACTGAACTCATCACACCGATAGAATTCCTTCTCAGTTCAGCGCTTGACATCGTCACCAAATTTACGATCGAGTGCAACAAATGATCCCTTGACACACGAAGTTCAGGAACCGAAATGCACC